TTTGTCCTCTAATGTGAATCTCTCTTCGTTTTCGGCACTTATTGTATATCTTTGTAAAAGTGATACGAAATACAGGAATACCTCCACTCGTGCTAATGTCTCGCCAACACAATTGCGTTTACCTTTAGATACAAACATATAATGTAATTATTAATATAAGTTGGTATAAAAATTATTAATATTTATTAAAAAGGTAAGTAAAACATACCGTAAGAAAATGGTATCAAAGCCTCGGTTTTGATCAAATTCTTGCCATCAGGTGTTAAGAATCTATTGGGATTGAATTGATCAGGGTTGTCCCATACTTTGGGATCGTAATGGACGGCCCATATATTGGCCATTATTCGGGTGTTTTTGGGTATGAAATGACCCAAAATGTATGCATCCTCGGGATGGCTGTCAATAAAATAGAAATAAAAGTAAGTTTATTCTTTTAATAATTTGAATATTTACTATATGCTTATTTTTGCATTATTAATTTAGTTTCAATTTACCTTCTCATTAGATTTAAAGGCAGAATAGTTTTCCAACGAAACACTTCATTAATGACTGCCTGAGTGTAAGGCATATCAAGCCTGTCAGCCCACGTGGGGCTCCGGTCTCTACCGATCACNTAAGGCATATCAAGCCTGTCAGCCCACGTGGGGCTCCGGTCTCTACCGATCACATCATCGATCTCTTCGTGTAATCTCTTTTGAATGTCTTTGTGTTTTACGGCCAACAATACTAACCACTCGACTGTTGTCCGCACTGTTTCACTGCCGGCACCGAAGAAGGCTCTGCTGTTCGCGTTTAATTTTTTTACTTAAAGATAATAACGTAATAATTTGAAATTAAATAAAATTTGATAATTTTCAAATACATGTAATAAATGTTTATAGTTATAAATACATGTAAAAGTAGTGTTGGGATCTTTTTGCTGTTTCTTCATTTCATTGAGGAATCCGTCCATATAATCACGTTTATTATTTGGATCCATTGTCTTCTGGTGTGACTCTATTTCCTCCCTATTAAGACAATTAATTAATTATAGAATATAAGGCATAAATAAATGTTTAAAATTTATACTCAAATATTTGCATAATTGTTGATATTTTTGCATTTGCAAACGCTCCTAATTTTAAGACCATTGTACTGAACCAAACCGGGGATAAAGACAATATGCCGAGCATTGAGAAAAGTGTCGATGCGCTGTCCAACAGTTCGTCAAATACGATACGTTTGGGATCATTGAAGTCCATCCGATGACCAAATACCAGATGAGAGATATTATTAGACATACTCGGGACCAATAGTTTATGGAAATTGAATCCCTGGCCATTGGTTTCATCGATAAGTTTAGTGAAATGTGAGATCTCATCGGCAATCCTATCCTCCATACTTCCCTTTCCAAACCCTAAGTCTCGAAGTGTTTGCAATGCAAACCTCCGGTGATCTCTCCATTCCTGTCCGCTATCGTCAACGATACCTAATTTAAAG